CATCCACTCTGAATCTGAGTTACTGCTCTCATATTCTTGTACAGTAGCTTGACCTTTGTTAGCTTTTTCGAGTGGGCGTTCGTCAACTCCTTCGTCTTCTGATGAAAGATCACTTTCGTTTTCCCGCGAATCGCTAAGTTTTTTCGCTTTCGAATTTTTGAGCAGAGGTTTGTCCCCTTCTTTTGCCTTTCGTCCGTTTTGTGCGGCAACTCTTGGGTGACTCCTTGCTACCCGGATTTTCGTTGGTGACCTTTCTGATTGTTCGGAGTTTGCCCTTTCTTCGTCCGATTTTGACTTTTCCCATTCATTTATTTCTTCAAGGCTCGTTAATGGCTTTTCGGTCAACTCGACCGGCGGACATTCCTCACCGTTATCGAGTGACCTTTCCCCGTTTTTTGCCTCCGTTACTGGGTTTTGTTGTTCATTCGATATCCTCTCAACTTCCTCTTTGAACTTCTTCCACATTTGTCCTCTATCTGTTAACATCCGTGCGATGTCGAAAGCCGACTTTGAACTTTCTTCCGTTTCGTTCGATCCTCCTTCGACTATCTCTTCAACTGGTTCTCTTTCCCTGTTTCTTTTGCTGTCCCCTTATCAACTTCATCCTGTTGAACTGTTTCGTAACCTTTAGGTCGTTTAGGACCAACAAAGATGCAGTTTGCCATCAGCTCTTCGGTGACCCATTCATCATTTGGAATCGTTTCATACATGCACCATGTATCACCGCCTCGTTCGGGGTAGTCCACTCCATCTGGATCTGGTGCAAAGGTCACCTTTTTCTTTTGCATTAATCCCGGTAGCCTTCTTTTCCGGGTTACTTGTAGTTCTCGCATCTCTTTTACGTCGAATTTGGGGATTTCTTCCTCGAATTTCTTCCAGTATTTCTCGAATGCTTTTTCGTTTCCCTCTTTTAACGCGTTGTAGTATACTTCAAGTGATTCGTAGACAGGTGTACCAAGTCCTGCCGGGAAGATAATCGTCCTTCCTTCACCTTTATACATGTGGTTCACACGGAAGTCCCAGAAAAGGTCAACTCTCGCTTCTTCCCACATTTCTCCTTCTTCGGTCATCTCTTCTATCTCTCGTTCAAATCTTCTTTCTGTTGCTACCGGATCGAGAGGATCTTGGATTCCTTTCTCGACCCGTTGCAACCAATGGTTTAGCCATCTGCCTCTTCCGATTATAAAACTTTCCACGCATGACAACCACGTTCGATATCTATTCCAATGATACCGTTCGATGTGTGGTTTCCACATTTCGTTTGTCCGCATGATGCTTTTCTCTTCCTTTTGGGCATGACCTTTAAGGTCTGCTAATGCGGCGTTACATTTCGGTCATTCTGAAAGGTCATCTCGAGATGCATTTTCACAACATTCTGCACATTCCCATTGTGGTTGTATTCTGCACGGGTCTTCAAAGTAGCCGTGATGACAACCCCTAGCTCGCTCATCTGGAGTTAGTGTCCTTTCACTCGCTCGCGGTTTAACTTCTTCCTGTGCTTTAGTATCTTCCTCACATTCAGTTTGGGTCACGCTTTTGTCCTCAGAGGATATGTCGATGACCTCTGGTTCTTTTTGTGTTCGGTGACCTTTCAACTGTTCGAGCGCCTTGTTACGAATTTCACTTGTGAACATCTGCTCCTCTTCGGCAATTCGTTTCAATACCCGTAACCTTTCACTCTTTTTATCCTTCCACACTTTAGCCGTCTTTATTCCCAGTGCCTCTGGTACTGGGATAGGCTTTGCCCACTCCATGTCTGGCACAAGCGATTGTTTCGCTGCAACTGCCGCTTCTTTCTGTGTTGCAATTATCTCTTCAAGCGTTGGTGACCTTTCGGTAGCAGGACGTGGTTCGAAAAGGTTCGAAGTACGCTCTGGTTCCAAGTTCTCAACTGTCGCTGGTGACCTTTCGTCTTCCTTTCCCAGTGCCTCTGGTGCTGGGGTAACTTCTTCAACACATTCTTTTTCTGTGGCTCCTTGTTTACAGTCATCTGCGATCATACTTCTCCCGTCCGGGAGAAATATGATCGCCTCATCCATGTCTGGCGCAAGCGGTTCCTTTTTCCTGTCGTTGACATTTTTGACCTTTCCACTTCCACTTTTCTTCTCCGGTGCCTCTGGTACCGGAGAAGAAAAGTGGCTTTTCTTTATTTGTTCGCTTCTCTGTCGTCATTTTACCACCGGTGGCCTTTTCCACATTCTGCACTTGCTCATTTGCTTTTGTGCTGTGCACGTGACCTTTAGTCACTTTGTTTACCGTTTGATGGATCAGTTCCTCTTTACGGTTTTCATTTCGCTTATCTCGCAGCTTCTCGATGACTTCGGTTGTTATTTGGTCGGCTTGTTTCAGTTCATCTGCTTCACTGTTTTTCATCTCATCTGGTGACCTTTCGTATGTAACCATGTCATATCCTTTTTCGGTCATCCATTGCATCACTTTTGCAGATACTTCATTATTCGTTTTCGTTGGGTCAATTTGCGAAGACATCCCGTCTGTTCGGGCTGGTGACTTGTCGTTAGCGTCCTTCTGTAGTGCTTGCGATAAGTCCCGTGACCTTTCGACTGCGTTACTCTGTTGCGTTTGCGCCATCTCGTTTGATCGTTCTTTTTGTTCGTTTTCCGCTAAGTCCTGTGACCTTTCGTTGCGCTTCATGACAAATCCGCCGCCCGTCAACTTTTGTATGGGGACTTTTTCTCCATAATTCGGCGGTTTATCCTGTGGCGGAGCGTTACGTGAGTAAATCCAATCGGCGAATGTCTTCTTATATTCCTCTGCATTGAATGCTGGGACTGGGTTCGGTGACCCTTGGGCTGGTTTCCCGGTAACCAACTCTTCTAATCTTTTCCTCTCGTGTTGCGTTCGCAATTCTTGCATGTCCCAGTAATCTTCTTGTGACATTCGCGCTTTCTGTTTTGCTTTTGGCGTCACGGGTATCCACATTCCGTGATTCCCATTTGGTCTGTAGGCCACTTTTTGCCACCTTTCCTTCTGTTGCAGTGTTACTGCGTCCACAAGTGAGTCGTCGGAGTTCTGTGCCATTTCATTATTCTTTTGCTGCGCTGTTCGCAGTGTCAAGTCTGTTTCTTGACCTTTTAACAGGACGCTGTCGCCGTGACCTTTAGCATTCACACTCGCTCCTTGACCTTTCACTTGGACTTTTCCAACGGAAGGTGACCTTTCATCTTTACTACTAACGGTGATATTCTGCTTAATCCATTCTTGCCTTGCCAGCTTCTCTGCTTCGTCTTCTGAACAATTCCAAAACTTTGGCTTTGGCTCCCCGTAACAATCGCAACTTGGCTCATTCGCCTTATCGTTTTCTGCCAAAAATTTCCAAAATTTCGCATGCTGCTCGTTTTCTTCTTGCGCAGTATCGTTCTGCGGTTTCTTCTGATTCAGCAGCGCCTGTTTAATCTTTGCGTTCCGTTGTGCGCGTCGTTGCGCTAACACTTCTTCGCTGCAATACGGTGACCTTTCATTTTGCTGCACTTTTTGCAGTGTCGCGCTACCGTCACGACAATTTCCACTCGCAGTACCATTCTGCGGTGACCTTTGGTCCCGTTGCGCGTTTCCACTCGCAGTACCATTCTGCGGTGACCTTTTGTCCACTTGAACGTTTCCACTCGCAGTACCATTCTGCGGTGACCTTTGATTCTGTGACGGTATCCCTATAACCGTTCCATTTCCTTTTTGCGAAGACGACATCCATATAGCCGTTTCTCTTTGCTGTGGCGGCATCCATCTAGCTGTTTCCTTTTGCGCTGACGGCATCCATATAGCCGTTGCAGTGGTCACATTCACTGCAGTACCATTCTGCAGTGGTGACCTTTCCCTTTTATCCGGTGGTTTAGGGTCGGGACGATCAGTAGGCTCACCGGTGCCTACTGATCTTGCCCGTTTCCCTGAACCGGCGCCCCACCTTGTTGCACGCCTTGCACATTTCCTTGCACATTTCCTTGTTGTTGTCCAATATCGTTTGCCGGGTTAGGATTCTGTCCGTTGCCATTGTTGTATTGGCCACCACCCTGTTGGTAGTTACCTTGGCCGCCTCCATTGTTCTGGCCTCCTCTGAAATTTCCGCGGCCGAAGCCTCTGCCCCTTCCTCTGAAGCCGCCGCGCCCAAAGCCACCACGGCCGTAGCCGCCATTCTGGCCACCGCCATTTCCATTTCCGTAGTTCCCGTTTCCATTCCCTTGTTGGTTTTGGAAGTTTGCTTTGTGCTGATACCATTGGGTGATGAGGTCATATCCGTTATTCACCGCTAGGCGCCAAGCACCAAGCCCGCGCAGTCGTTGCCACTCGTTGAAGGCGAACAGGTTCGGGTTCTGGTCCGGTGGTGTGTTGGCGAACTTGCATCCTTGTGTTTGGTGATTGCCACTGTTGATCACTTTCAACACTTTCAAAGGTCACTGTCGATCACTTTCAGATCGTAAAGGTCACTAAAATGGGTCAATTTGATCAATTCCAACTTTTTGGTAAAGGTCACTTTTCAAAGTCAAAAGTCAACTTCTGGTCTCAAAGGTCACTTTCCAGCTCAGTTTTCAAGTTAAAGGTCTATTTCCAGCTCAATTCTATCAAAGGTCACTTTCTAGCTCGGTTTCGATCAAAGGTCACTTTTCCTTTGTCTGAACGTAAAAGGTCACTTCTCGACTCAATTCAAGTTTAAAGGTCAGTTTCCCGCTCAATTATCTCATCTTAAATCAAGTTTCCCCTTACGACTCGAGTTCAACGGAAAATCCCCATTCGGGTTGTTTACTTCGTTCTGATTGGTCCGCTAGCTCAAAATATTCAGTTCAAATTTCGGCCAATCACGGCTCAGATAACTGACCAATCACACTGAACCATTTAAATTTTATATTAGCCTGACGTCACGGTCAACGGCCAGACATGCGCGCCGCGTGCAAAACTCCGCCTACTTCTACGCTCAGCTCAGTACGGACCAATAGAAATTGTCAATTTTACCAACTAGCCAATCCCGTAATTAATAACGGTTTTTCTACCTGTTAACCGTCCGTTCCACGGAAAAGTGATCCAGATGATCCAATTCTTCTCCACCGTCCGTTCCCGCGCTGCCGCTTTTCCGTAGCGGTTGTGCCGCCCGCTTTTTGTATGCTACTGTGCCGGCTGACTGCCTTAGCAACAGTAGTGGTGCTCTACTCCAGTTTGGAGGAGTCTGATCTGGTCTTTTCCGTGCGCCCCTTTTGGCGCTTCGCCGCTTGTGGCCCACGGCTTAGGCTTCGCTGAAGCCTTGCCGAGTATCAGTGACACCAGTGTAGGTCTTCGCTGAAGACTCTACACCGAAGAACACTGACGACTGAGATCTTGCACTCTTGCACAGCTAAGGAAACAGCACGGGTCTTCGCTGAAGACACTGTACCGAAAACCAAAGCTGGTGGAATCCGCGTTCGGTTGAGGAAATTGCACCGCTTGTGGTGTGCGCTTTGCTGTCTATGCAGACCTGTGCCTTACTGGTAACAGAAAACACGTCGGATAACAGGCCAACTTTGCCTGACACAAATCAAATCAAATCAGAGAACCGCTGTCGGCTCTGCTACCATCTAAAGCTAGATCCAGAATGGATCCAGAGACGGAGACAGAAACGGAATCTATCCCGTGGAAGCGAGCGATACGATATGGATCGCGAGCTATGCGGAAACACAAACGTCGCACCGTAAATCGCTGACTTTTAATAATATTGAAGGTCTGCACAACAGAAATCAACAAGTGATCGGCACAGCTCGATCGTAACACGTAGAGCCCGTTCAACAGTGTGCAACACCGTGCAGCACGTGCTATGCCGCGCCCACTATCAAAATGCAAGCCAACCAGAAGAGACACAACACAGACACGTAATCCTAAGGCGTAGCGCCACAGGCGTAGCGCCACTGACGTGAACGCTAGTGATCCCGGTCTCACATCCACATGATTTTTGATTTTTATGCGCGAAAATAGCGTAAAAAAGGCCTGCTAACGGGACTGTCCCCCTTGAGGCGGCGCCTGTTCGCTTTCAGGGGCAGCTTTAAAACGCAGAAGCGTTGGCTCCACGGGCGCCCGCATTGAACAGGCGTCAAAAAATTTGGAATCGCAGGTGTTCAAAGTAGAGGTGGGAACAGGACGGCTATCTTGCCCTGAACCTGTACTTTTTCGATTTTTCTCCTCCCTGAACCTGTCCTGTCCCTGAAATTTACCGTGTTGACCAACCTGAACCTGTCCTGAGCCTGGTAATACTCACCCTGAGCCTGACCTGAGACCCTGAACGCATTAAAAATTAGATATAGTTTTTTGGATTTTTTACGCATTTGCGAAACTGTAAGACGAAAAATTGCTGGTAACGTAACAAGCTACCGCGCATTTGTGGGTTTAGCGTAACGAGGTAGCGTGTGCGTTTTCACCTTAAGGCGCTTATTGTACTTTTCGGGGGTCTTGACCCCCGAGTTTTAACTTACGGGCACCATGATTGTTACTGGTAACTTTGTGGAGTTTCGGTAAGCTTAGTTTTTAAAATAATTCAGGATTCCTGCAGGAATGAGTTGCGCCCTGTCCCTGAACTGTCAGGGAGTTTAACCGCCCTGAGCCTGAACCTGAATCAAATTTCAGGTCAGCATTTTACCCTGAACCTGTCCTGCAGGGACAGGATCCTGCAGGTTCAGGACAGGATCCCTGACCCCTGTCCTGCGCCCACCTCTAGACTTCAAAGTACGCAGGTTTTACTGTACTTTCATCAAGTTTTTTGCAGAAAGGTAGAATAGGTCCACAGCTGGTGCGATTCCAGTAAAGTCAGAATAAAAAATTAATCACACAATCAAAAATTGGCCATTGTTTCTGGGTAACAGCATGAATTGTTTTAATTCGTTTTGGTGTTAATAAGCACTGAATTAGCTCTCCTTTGAGTAGCTCACTTTAACTTTTAAGCATACTGCTTAGATATTTTATCTTCTGCAGAAAATGAGTTTTTCGGCATTTTGACCGTGCCTTGTTTAGTGACACCTGTAGCGTGTTTAGTTCCCCGCCAAAAGGCGACTGCCCTGCTCGTAAGACAAACATCCCCGGTTTTAGAATGTTTTACAGTGATACCGGCTAGGTGGAGTCTGTTTCTGCTGGGGAAATGATAGCGCCGTCGGTTTCACTGACTGCCTGTGTAACATGATTTATCATGTGTACATGCACAACGTATGTACTGGTCGTTGGCATAACAGCAACAGTGAGTTGTTACACAACTCACTGGCCAACAGAGTTGTTACACAATGCATAAGTGCCGGTTGGCGTTCGAGCCACAGTGCGTTGCTGTATAACGCACTGGCCAACAAAGGCATATTACGCAACACGGAAGTGCATCCGTTTGAATGTCATAACTTCTATTCACTATACGCCAATAACGTTGTGTAACTGGACGTTGGCTTGTCCATCTGTTCTCATATATAAGTCCTATGTTTTCAATACTAAAAATCGTTGATAGTTTTAGTCAGTCTTAGATCAATAAAGACTTATACCATCTAGCCAGCTTTGAGTTACAGTTAGTAAGAACCTACGTTACAAATGGTGGCTCCAGTGGTCTTTAAAGTGTTTACTATCAACCTCCATTGACCTTTCCACACTGATCCCACTGTATCTACCGATCTTTATGGATTACAATGGATTACATTTGACCTTTATGTACTAAACTGACATCATAGTTCCATACAGCTTACAACATAAGTGAACTATCGGTTCCGATCCAGCTGTCTACATCTGACATTTCAGTCCGATTCTTGTTTCTGCTATAACCCTGACCTTTCCATATTTGTCCACCATATGTACTGAACGGATTACTCTGTGACCTCTTATCAGTTGATGCCGAACACTCGTAGTAACACCGACATACCGGATAAGAATTTTGAGCAAACCGACATCGAGCTGCGCCTTGCCAACCAGGCAGGTAAGACACGCAATACTGACAATAGAGCGACAGACACAGACAGTGACCTTTCCACAACATCAACGCCAAATCCAGCAACAATGACCACTATCACATTTGAGGATACCCAAGTGCAAGCAATCCATACAGGACTACAACCACTGATTTCAAAACACGACATCCTCAGACGGTTTAGCCTAAACGACATCCCAATCCTAATTGACCTTTACAACGTGATCACTGTTACTGACGAAGCTGACGCACTATCCCAACTCCAAAATGGAACTTTTCCATTCAAGATGTCCAAGGCTGACCTTAAAGCATTGTATCTAACAACAAAGGATAGGGCCTTCCAGTCATTAATCAACACAAACAATGTGTACGGAAGAAAGATCGACCAACTTCTTCAAGAAATGACCTCACTTAAACAACAACAACAGCAACAACAACAGCAACAACAACAGCAGCAACAACAACAGCAGCAACAACAACACCAACAACAACAGCAACAAACTGGATCAACTCCCATTACTACCATTCTTCAAACGTCCGGAATGCAACTTTCTCCTAAAGATTTCCCGAAATTTGGCGGTGAGTCACACGAAGATGTACGCGAGTTTACCGAACGCTACGAAAGTTTTACCCGAGTTTATGGATGGACGGAAGCGACAAAACTGACGAATCTTAACTTGTGCTTCATCAACAATGCCTTAAGATGGTGGGAATCGGAGCAAACCAAACATGTAACCTGGATCAGCGCGAAGAACGCCCTGCTTAAAATTTTGGCCCTACTGACCTGGACTACGACCTGAAGAAGGAAGAATACCAGAACCTAGCGAAGTCGGATCCTCCATCATACGTCACGAAAGTCCTGAAAATGTTTGATGTCATCAACCCTACAGCCACTGAGCACGAAAAGGCGAACGAATTATTTCGTGAACTCCCGACACGCATGAAATCGAACTTTGTCACCAATCGACCGACAACCGTAGCCCAGTTCCTGGACAAGCTGAAGACCGAGGCAACTAAGGAGCAGTACAAGGAAAAGGCCCAAAGGGAATCAGAGGCTGATGACTCAAAAGCAAAGGTTTTCTTTACGGAAACACGGAACAGCGAAATAACTGATTTGTCTAAACGCCTGGATCAAGTAGTCAACATTGTGGAAAACATGGCACGAGGATCCCAGCCCAACTTCCGGCGTAACGAAAGCCGATTTAACGGACGCAACACTCGTTCAGATGCAATATGTCACCGCTGTGGTAATAAAGGTCATATGCAGAAGGACTGTTGGACAAAATGCAATAAATGTGGAAGAAAAGGTCATGTCGCTCGCGAATGCAGAAGCCAGGGACGAAATACGGACCAGAATTACAGAAGAAACCCGAACAATTTTTCCAGGGGAGGAAATTCTAACCGCGACAGTAATAATAACAACAGGCAACCGTCGTACTTCAGCTACGAAGAACACGACGACACACTGGAAATACCTGAGTTAAACTAAAGGCCATGGCAGATAAGGCTCTTTTGCTACGGTAAACAATCAACTGGTCTGTACAAATTCGACATCCGGCGCAATAACCTGCAAAGTACGAGTTGACAATGAGCCAATAGAAGCCATCGTAGATACCGGATCAGGAATTTCAATAATAAATCAGAAATTTTTTGAGAAAAAGAATTTGACTAAACAACCATGGAACGGTACCATCGCAACGTCCGCATCAGGTGATAAACTCAACATTTCAGGATCATGCAGAGTCCCCATAGATTTATTGAAAGAGAGAGTATGGGTAAAAGCAGCCATACTAGAGGGGTTCCCATATGCCATGCTGCTTGGGACCGACTATCTTCGGTCAACACCCTTTGTGATTGATTTCAAACAAAATAAAGTCTTCAATCTCAGGGCACGTCTAATGGCCGATTTAAAGAACACCATGCCAGTACCATCCACGAATACGCTACTCCGCAACCGGACATCCTCAGCACAACCTTTGCCCAAGTTTGGCCGATTTGGTCGGAGGGTTGGAGATGTACGAACACCCAATCAAACGCGCGATGAGAGGGTGGAGCAGCACTGTTCATCAGTGAAGAACCTAGGAATCACTGAAGGCATGATGTTAACAAAGAAGTCTCCGGAGAAGAAAGAAGTAGAGAGAGAAGAGAAGAAAGAAGAGAGAAGAGAAAAGATTGAAGAAGAGAGAGATAAAGAAAGAGAAGAGGAGGAGAAGGCGTACGCAGAAGAGAATGGGCAATTAAGCCCGAAAGACCTCCTGGGGGACTCATCAAAATTTATAGAGGACCAGCTGTCAATGGCCGACATTGAAGATATGGTCAAGCTAGGACCGGAACTCACCGGTGAAGAGAAGAAAATGCTCCTGAAATTACTGTTTAAATACCGCGAGATTTTTCCAACGAAGCAATCACCAATGGGACGTGCAAATTGTGCGAAGTGTTACATCGACACCGGTAATAACGAACCAACATCAAGGCACCTGAGACGATTTTCTCAGTGGTAACGTGAGGCAATTGATAAGCAAATAGATGAATGGATACACCTAGGAATAATATCACCTTGCCAATCCCAGTATGCAGCTAATTTAGTTCCAATACAACAAAAAGATAAAATTCGTATATGTGTGGATTATCGGGACCTCAACAAAATTACTGTCAAAGATAAATACCCGATTCCAAGGATCGATGACTGCTTAGAATCGCTTAGAGGTAGTAAATATTTTACTAGTCTAGATCTAGTTCAAGGATACCTGCAAATTCCGATTGAAGAATCATCCAAGGTGAAAACAGCTTTCCTTACTTCGACAAACCAGTACCAATTCGAGGTGATGCCTTTTGGCCTTACCAATGCCCCGCGACATTCCAGCGCATGATGAATAAAATTTTTACCGGATTAATTGGCCAATACATCGTTATTTACCTGGATGATATAAACATCCATAGCCGGACATTTCAGGAACACCTTGAGCATTTAGAAACAGTTTTACAAAGATTAACGGCAGCAGGACTAAAACTTAAACCATCAAAGTGCAACTTTGGACACCGTGAAGTAGAATTTTGGGACATCTTGTCAATCCAGACGGCATATTTCCCAATCCCAAAAAAGTAGAAGCCATACAAAACTACCAAGCCCCGACAACCAGGAAACAACTTCGAGGATTTATCGGGATGGTCGGATATTACAGCAAGTTTATCCCGAACCTCGCTACAATATCGGCACCCTTACATCAACTGACCTGCAAAGACACACCTTTCCAGTGGACAGAAACACAGCAGAAAGCTTTTGAAACATTGAAGCGAGCATTAACAACGAAACCCATTCAGGCACATTTCGACCGGAATTTACGGCACATAGTGGAGACGGACGCCAGTGGTGTTGGACTCGGTGCTGTTCTACACCAAGTCGAAAACGACGGAAGGAAAACGGTCATCACCTACGCGAGTAAAGCTTTATCAAAATCCGAACGGAACTACAGCGCCACGGAACAGGAATTATTAGCAGTAGTGTGGGCACTCGACAAGTTTCGCCCATATATAGGCGATCCAAATAGAACTTTTGAAGTTATAACGGACCACAATGCTCTGCGAGGACTTATAAACGCAAAGAATCTTACAGGACGTCACGCACGTTGGATTTTAAGGTTACGGCAGTATAATTTTAATATCGGATACAGAGCCGGAAAAGAGAACGTTGTCGCCGATTGCCTGTCAAGATATCCTTTCGACAATTCCAACACGCCTAAAATCTGAAATTTGCCAACCCCTTATTTCACATAACGACTTCCAACCTAAAACAAGAGCAACAGACAGACAACTTCTGCAGGCGAATTTCCAGTATCCTTAAAGGCCCGACGCACATCGAAGCCTATAAATACCGGCGTACACGATTCACGTTGATAGCTGACTTACTGTATCGCATAGCATACCGGAACGATAAAATGGTTACCCTGTTAGTCATCCCAAGATCAATGCAGAGAGAAGTTTTGCATAATGCACACGACGCAAATGGACATTTTGGAACTGAGAAAATGTATCACCAACTTCACGACAAATATTACTGGCCCGGCATGACGGACTCCATATCTGCATATATTAAACAATGTATTTCCTGTAATGTTAAAAAGCCTCCACCAGGCAAACCATCAGGTTTGATGCAACCGTTTCCCGTGGAAGGACCTTGGCACACCATCGGAATAGACTATCAAGGCCCGTATACAACATCCTCAAAGGGGAACCAATACGTTATAGTTGCAATCGACCACCTGTCCAAGTGGATAGAAACAAAAGCCGTAAGAAATGCCACAGCAGAGAACGCCGCTAAATTTATAATGGAGCAAATCATCCTACGTCATGGGGTACCAAAATACATCGTATCCGATCGAGGGAGACATTTGTTGCAATGATCTTTTGTCACAGTTGACGAAGCTTCTAAACTGCAAACAACGGTTTACGACTTCATATCATCCACAAAGTAATGGAATGACAGAGCGAGCAAACAAGACTATTGCCGAATGTCTGTCAAAATACTGCGACGACCACAACAAATGGGATAACTACTTGCCCTTCGTAACACACTGCATTAACACAACCGTCAACGCCACTACAAAATACTCTCCATACGAACTCCTACATGGACGCCAAGCAACATCTGCCCTCGACACAGCATTACACCAACCGGAAGCCATTTACGACCTTGACCATTACGTAAAAGAAACTACGGAGTATATAAAAGATGCACAGGAACTAGCCAAACTACGATGTATCGATGGAAACGAAAGAAATCAAGTACCGTATAACGAGAGGAGAGTAGCTGCGCAGTACGAGCCAAATGACCTTGTGTACCGCTGGAACGTACCTCGGCTTGTTAACAAAGATGGCAAAATTATCCCAGCCGACACTCGGCTTACCATCAAACTGCTTAAACATTGGCACGGACCGTATCGCGTAATCCGACAGTTGAACAACGTTAACTACGAAATTGAGAACATAAACGGAAAACGCAAGAAGGACGTTGTCCACGTTTCCCAACTGAAACCGTGGTACGACAAATTAGATGAAGAGGAGAATATCCAACTCGCTAAAACGACTCCAAAAGAACAACATACAACAGAGAACAGAGACATTGGAAGCAACACCAAAACACCACACAGGGACAACAATGAGCCAAGATACAATTTACGTGAAAGAAAAACAAGACCAGTTTATAAATAATTTTCAATTATTTTTTCTTTAGAAGGAGTGTAACATGATTTATCATGTGTACATGCACAACGTATGTACTGGTCGTTGGCATAACAGTAACAGTGAGTTGTTACACAACTCACTGGCCAACAGAGTTGTTACACAATGCATAAGTGCCGGTTGGCGTTCGAGCCACAGTGCGTTGCTGTATAACGCACTGGCCAACAAAGGCATATTACGCAACACGGAAGTGCATCCGTTTGAATGTCATAACTTCTATTCACTATACGCCAATAACGTTGTGTAACTGGACGTTGGCTTGTCCATCTGTTCTCATATATAAGTCCTATGTTTTCAATACTAAAAATCGTTGATAGTTTTAGTCAGTCTTAGATCAATAAAGACTTATACCATCTAGCCAGGTTTGAGTTACAGTTAGTAAGAACCTACGTTACACCTGAATCGTTCACGTATACCATAGCTAGTGAATAAACTGAATGTGTATTTGCGTCAATACTAGTAAATACCCTAGCTATTCACTTTCTGACTATTCTACAGGTGTCGATGAGCCGTGCATTGGGACCGCTTTGATATGGAATATATAACGGCGGTTATCAAAATGCTGCTAGGCACCAAAGGCATTAGTCTGCGGTTGATTGTTTTAGTGAACGGAGACGAAATCGTGCATAGTCCATGGTGTTCCGTCTTGGAAATCAGCGGCACTGAACCCAGCACGGACTTTGAATGCCCGGCGAAATCGACATTGTTGTCTGTTAGTGAGGCACTGATACTGATCAATTATAATGCGTCTGATGCCATCCCTAAATCAACTGATGAAATTTTATTCTTCAATGACAAATCATCTTTCTGGGAGCGTGAAAGGAAATACATCCGATGCGATCTAGACGGTTGGCCGAATGTGACTATTCCGTTTCTACGCTTTCGTCGCACGGATACAGCTGCTGCACAGTGCCGACACTTTCTCGCCGCCGCCAACGACAATTGTCCGGCTCCTACTCGGCGTGTACGACAAAAAATCAGAGCGATATATGCGCGATGGATCCGCAAGTTTGTCTATCCTGAAAAGTGGGCAGGTATTCGGGTTTTCCTTCAAATGTAAGTAAAAGCACGTTACACCTGTTAGTTATACCTGACAGCGTTATTCGGAAGTTCTGCAAAGTTTTACACAAACGTTTAATTAGGTTCAACTCTTTGGCTTCCGCTGATGATCCACTGCATTGGGATTCCATGGATCTTCGCCAACTGGACACTGACACTTTGAGCCACGTGACATTCGCAGCACTGCACGCATGTCTGACAGACCGGAAGCAGCGCTGACGCCAAAAAACTTTGTGCCTAATTTGTTTTTCTAGCAGTTTACCTACGCCTCTTATAATGGCTTGCCTCGCCGAGATAATGAACGCTTTTCGTCTTGCTTTTCTGAGTACTTTTGCTAGCGGTTTTCATACTTTCAAGATTTAACTCCAGCTGTTTTTATCGTATTGCCTGAGCTCTGAAACGCCGCTCTGGACTGTTGTTGTACGGCACTTCTGTTTCGTAATCTCCAGGTTATTTGTGAGTCTTTTGTTGACATTATCGCGATAACTTGCTGACTCTGCGCTGAAGAAATGATGGAACAGACAAAAATGCCAACGTTTGTGTCAGCCTAAAATTGTTCAACCGGCGATTTTTCCGTCCGGTCTTGCTCCGACCTTGAGATCACTACCGCTTTTCATGCATCCTTCACTTATGAGCACAACAAGGAGCATGACTGGGCCCCTACAGACCACGGTTGAAACGGCTTTTGGCTTGCAACAAATAAACGATCAGGCTACAGAACGGTGACATCAAGTGTTCGGTTTTGTTTACCGGCACATTATCTTTCCGAGCTACTCGCTCATTGCATCTTGGTTTCAAATGAAACTTAAGCCGTTACTGCCTATAAAATCTGCGCGTTGTATGAACGCCCCGAACGCTCCAAGAAGCACGCGCGCGGAGGCGCTGGTGGTACAAGATAGCGTGCGGCGATTGAATCGCAAACGGGAGCAGGATGGGCAGTGCAGCTGTCTGCTATACCGATAAAAAAGAAACTACCAGTGGGTCATCGCGTGCCTTCCGCACAAACCTGCCCAGTTTTCTTCGCAACATCCTGGCAAGCGGGTGTGACGGGAAGAATGTTCTTTACAGAAGGACATAGGTCAAAGGTATGAAAAAACGTTTCAGAGTGCGCGAAAGTTTCAGTGTGTCTGTAAAACAAAACTGGCACTGTGTACCGGGCCATTTCCTTTACGGCTTTGTACGCAGTACGATTGAAGGTTTTTTTCTAAACATTCTGCGCGATAATTTAATATTTATCTTCCGAGCACTGCGGGTAATGGGAACGGATCAAAAACTCAGAAACAATACAGGCCAATTGATTATAAGACTAGGCAGTAACGATCACTATCGCATGGAATGGAGAAAACGGAATACTTGTCAATATGGGGGTACAATATTTTATCAGTATTTACAGAAGCAGCAGTATTACTTAGCGGCAACAGTAAAATTCATCACATTTAAGCTATCTTATCATATCGCTGTCTAACAATATCGCGTATCTTGACCGGCGCGGTGTACTCAACAATGGCAAACCTGCTCTGCCATTAAATAGTGCAAGACGCAGCTCAGCAAGAATGCTGAACTACAAAATACGTAGCAATGTTCATACGGATATAGTTCGTTTTTTGATGCGTTTTATTTTGGTGACAACAATTACTCAGCTTTATAAGGCTACACACACACACACTGAAAAATCATCGCTCCATACTTGATGCGGTTAGTTATCTGCGCTTTCAAATTCCAGATGTGAGTACTTGTACTGTAAAGGCAATTCAATGGAGTTCCTCCTATTCAATTTACATCAGTGGAAACCATTTGTGTTATTCTGAAAGTTACAGAAATGGAAGATATCGGTTCCAACGATTCCGGTGTAGTTGAGGAAATCGGTAATTTACAATACCGCTACAGTAACACGGACTTTATTGCGAGGGGAGCATTTGGAGTAGTTTATAAAGCCGAAATCATAAAAGCAGTCACCCATTCGGAGCCAGACTTTGTAGCCGTCAAAGTGATACATGTTGCAATTAATTCCGAAAGTGATGCCGCCCAGAAAAGTTGGATGACAGCTGTAAAAAGACTGCGGCAACTCACGGAACTGAAGCACAGACATCTTGTTGTCTATCACAAGGTCTCCATCGTCCGATGTTCAGGGGGAGCGACTGTGGAGCTAGCAATGGACTACCATAAAGGTGACCCAAGCAGCTTCTTCGCCAAATGACTATCACATTGTTTTCAGTTTTACGCAAACGGCTTTGCAGGTGATCTTGCTTTGTTTTTGAGACAAGCCAGGAAAAGCAAGACGCTTTTAAACAACTGGGAGAAAGTGCTTCGATTCACAACGGACATAACCAAGGGATTAGCATTCCTTCATCAAAAGGGCATCATTCACGGCGATTTGAAGCCTGAAAATCTACTCTTAAGCATTTGGCCGAGTGGGAGCGAGAAACTGGCGATTGGCGATTTAGATGATCTGGTGCAAATGAAGGGAAGTGCTACCTGCTCTGCAGATATATCCCAGTTACGTGGCACAACGCGCTATATGTCACCGGAAATGCTGAGGAAATTTGTCCAGCAAGAAGCAGAGCGGCCAGGACGTAAAACAGATGTGTGGAGTCTGGGCTGCATTATTCTGGAGATGGCCGAAAGCTGTGCAGGTGTACCCAAGAAGCGACTCATAAAGGCTGGGAATATTATCGATGCTGGAAGCGCTCTTGAAAATTACCAGTATGCAGGTTTCATAATCGACGGTTACGTTCCGTTTGTATGCGAGGACATTGAAGACACTTTAGCATGCATTATTCGACACTGTTTGGATATTTCTAGCGCACACCGATTATCCGCCAGAGAATTACTGCAGAAGCTGCCGAAAAAAGACATCATAGTATTTTTAGGGCTCAAGCATTCCAGATACCTCTTCGTTATGATGTTCGATCCGTTAACTAATTCTGTCAATGTCCAAGACGTGCAGGGCGCACCAGAATTTGAGTGGCTTCCGGAACAACAGTTGGCTGCAACACGCAACAAAATTATATTCAGAGAACGGATACGTCATGGTGGCGCGCAAAAGGTCAAATTTCATTTCTGGAATGTCGGCGAGGGAACATGGGAACAGCAAGGACCAGTTCCTTCTTTGGATATACAATGGGATGCAAGGATGATCGCAGTGGGAGAGAAACTTTATTTTTGGGACACAGCCAGAACCTTTACGGAAATGAACATTTCTACTGGCAGCGTCACAGCGTTAACTAATTTGAATGAAAGGTATGGCCATTTTTGTTAGAGCGTACGTTGCAGCCTTGATATCAAACGATTCAAGACATGGTATTTTTTAGCCCTTACCTCGATGCAGATGCAGTGGCTAAATGCCGTGAGCAGATATTTTACGCTACACAGGACACAGTGTACCAGTATGATACGGTTATAAAAAAATGGAAATACTTACCACGTCCACTGGAACTGCGCGACGATTTTGCAATGGCTGTGGTCTGCGGACACATATATATTATGGGCGGAAAGCTTTGGGACGACGCTACGCTTATCTATACTGCAACAGCTGATTGTGTTCGTTTAAAACTGGGTAGTACAAGGTGGGAAAAGATTGAACCGCTTCGTCAGCCCAGATTTGATCATACTGCTTGTGTTATCAAGGATCGAATATACATCTGCGGAGGTAGCCATTCTGAAGAGAAGGACGCCATTACGATAGAACTCTACGATGTCAAACGCGACGCAGGATGGTCCACTGTCAACTTATTACCAAAGTATAACAAAAGGTTTGCAGCCTGGGTTGCTGAATACTATAAGCCATGGTATGGAATTGCAATAACCACGGTTGCCGTCAGTCAGAATATTGACATCGTTCCGGATATAATCTGATGTATTCGGGTGTATCCGTCCACATCGCATGTACTTTACTACTGCTTCTACTCCTACTTAATTCTACTACTCCGAGTCATGGCCCTGACCTCGACTCACGCATTCCGAGAAACCCCCAGCAAGGAACTTTGACCGCGACTTGTAACCTCCGCTCGTACCTCGACTTACCTTACAGGCTCTACCTATTGTTCTCTTGTTCAAGTGACCCGAGATTATGATTCGTCCACGTCAGCGTGTGTAGCTATCGTTGATAATTGGTTAGCCAGTCCCTCTTCTGAAATCCTCTGTTGATGTCCGGTACCTGCGAGTGCAATGAGCAAGCACCTGAGAGTGTCGAGCTGTTATCCCGACGCATTAGGGACTTCATCAAAAGGTGATCAACTTCACGGTTTGTTCTGGTATTCTCTTTCGAATGAGGATTTTGCTATAAGATTTCTTGGTGGCCTTGCCACTCAAGTCTTCGGTTCTCCGTTACTTCACGGGCAAGCACATTTATCTTCTGATAGCCTGGCAGTGAGACGTGGTGACCTTTAGCTCCCAATTTTTTTCATGACTTTGGTCACTTCTTCGATCTTCATGCCCAGTATCACCTGGTTTTGGTTCGTTAAAACGAAAGTTGCGCTAGGGAGTCCCGTGAGCATCGTTACGCACAGCTAGGTTAGGGTCACACTAGGGGTATTCGTACACCAGTTGTTTTTTTAAAGTTCCGGCCACTGCACTAGCACACAACACTGCACTAGCACACAGCTGATGTTCCCTTTGGATTATCAAGCTAAATATTTTCCACCACAAGCGGCTAGTTCGATCTAACTATTTTGCATTTCGCTGTTACGTTGAAAAACACAGCCGTACTTTGCTATTGCTTTATTCGGCTAGTTGTTTCGAAAACGGCTCGGTTTACATGTTCAGCAATGCATTAATAAGGAGACAGACAGAACATTCTGTGCAAAGTGCGGTAATTCATTCACGCAGAGTTGCAGTGGAGGCTGTAACACTGCAACAGACAGAACGTATGCAGCAGCTCGCAAACGCGAGCGCCAGCTTTATTTTAACGCGCAATGGCGCTAACCGGCTCGGGCAGAGCAAGACGTTCAACCGAATCAGAGTAAGAGAATTCTAAACAGGTAGACAGCAAGCACATCTCTAGGGAAGGCGCCAGTCCTCTGCTTCGACTGATCTCCGGTTTCGCTTGAGCGACTTTTTGAGAATGTAGATAGTAAAATGTGTAGAGAAAGAGTCAACCGCCCAAATGCAGCGATGAAATACCGTATGAAAATACTGTATCAGCCGAAACCGTATTTTCATCGCTGCATTTGGGCGGTTGACTTAACACATTTCTAGCACATTTTTAGCACTATCTAGCAGTTTTCAAAATGGCGCTCAAGCGAAACCGGAGATCCGTAATTAACAACACGTGAGAAAACTAAGACTGTACTAACACGCGAGAAAAACAATATTTATATCTTTGCCGGCCGACGATATCGCACAGACTTAAACATGGCAGTTTTTAAATTGCAAGTTCGCAAGTCCGTAAACGTTCAAAACCGATCAGCCGAAACCTTTTCCAGACGTTTGCGATTCAACATGCATTCTAAAACGTATTTGTCGATCTGATGTCATTTGTGGGGTGACCCGTTTCCTGAACCGTAAAGTGCAAGTGGCTAATTTGCGAGCGGGATCGTAGTACCGTAAATAACAAATTAACCATCTGGCAGAGAGAACGTATTACCATTCTCTCTGCATCTGGCTTACCACCTGTTTTCTTACAAATTTCTGAAGATGCTTGCAGCTTTTATACTGAGCGCTGGTTTCGCCGTTCGCGCGAAGCGGCAAAAGTTAAACCTCATAAACCTCAAATATAAAATGGCTAAATACAAGCTTGACAATAAGCCTGCGTTTGGTCCTTACTTTCAATGCCACTACAAACTCAATGGTAATTAATGCTTTTTTTAATGATTTCTGGCCGTTTATGTTGTAAATTATTCGCTAACTTCGCGCTTTTGCCAGCGAAAACACAAGCCAAGTCAGGTCTGAAATAATACTTCGCACTTGCACTTTGGCCTATTAAAAAACGAACTCAAGCATCTTTGTTAGTTTCTTGAACTCTCAACCGTAGCAGTTCTTGCAATAACTTCTCAGTTGGCTGAATCGAGTCAAGCATCTTTGTTGGTTTCTTGAACTCTCGACCGTAGCAGTTCTTGCAAAAACTTCTCAGTTGGCTTGGCTGGTTGGAGCTCTCATGGTTTTACGCCCTTTTAGGTCAAGTCTAAGCGTAAGAAGCGATTCACGTTACATTCGCTGAACTGCCCTTATGTAACCGTATAATGCACGCCTGTAACCGGCAAAATCGTCCCGACGCATGAACCGTCCGGCGGTCCAAGAAAACGTCCGCCGTGAATTTTTCCCACCCAGATGTTTCTGCTCTATTCGGGGGTGGACGGTATTGCCAGAGCGTGTATCCGGAGGCAAACGGTATTGCCGGAGCGTGTATTCGGAGGCAAACGGTATTGCCGGAGCGCGCCGCCGCTGCAGAGTATACAAACCGGGATACAAACTGGTCATATAAACGTACAGGTAAAGCGAAAATCGTGCTTAGAACGGCACTACATTTACCGCAATAACAAGGTCCACTCCGCGGTCAGATCGCCCCTTACTGCATCGACTAACGATCAGTCTAATTATATTATTTGGTTTTTGCACTGGCAAACCCCACGCCAATGCATGTTATGTGTTAAAATAGTGCAGCGTGGTGTACCCAGTATGAAGTTAGGCGCAACCGGTAAATTTGTTATTCTCGCTGTATTAGCTGATGCTTAATTTGTTGCCCGGCTTGTACACGCAACAGATAGCCCGTATCCCCCTTTCTCCAAAAATTAATGGGCTCCACAAATCTTTGGCTGTGAGAATCTGATAACGTATGGTGACTGGGAAGCACCGCACCGAATGGAGAAAACGGAACACAGCACAAAAGTGCACACCTGTCAAGTTCGGGTGACATTAATCTTATCCCGCTTTCACTTCTTCTACAAAAGCAGCAGCATTACTAGTACCAGTAACAAAATTTATCATGTTATTGGCGTTATCAGTTACCAGTTCGCGCTATCACTGTCGTGTATCTTGCCCGGCGCGAGGTACAACTCAGCAACAGCAAGCCTTTTCTGCCGTTAGTACAGTGCAAAATTATACGAAGCAGTTTGCTTCATACAGTTTACTGAGTTTGGTATTCTTGCTGAACTACGTTAAAATAGTGTTCATTTCTAGTATAGCTCGTCCTTTGAACAATGCGCATGCTTGCTTTTCATTTTGGTAACAACAGTACGAGGCAAGCGACAACGCGACAACTCTTTCCCATCGCTTTAGTAAATTTTATCACTTTCCCTGCTGCATCTTACCCGTGTGCAGGCCCTCACGTGATACTAGATATCGTATCCATTGTAATCAGCGCTTACTGAGCCGGCGATAAAATCTCGCCTGCCGTGCTCTTCTCTGTATTCTTTATCAGTTTGCACAATCAGCTATAGCTGCAAACCGACGTGAAACGGCTGAAATCAAGTATCACGTGAGCGCCTGCACACGGGTAAGATGCAGCAGGGAAAGTGATAAAATTTACTGAAGCGATGGGAAAGAGTTGTCGCTTGCCTCGTACTCAGCTTTAGAAGGCTTCAGACACTAGAAAATTTTCAATCCATACATTATGGGTTCTTTCAAATCCCAAAACTTGTGAGAAGTGAAACGCGATTCAGTGGAGGTATTCTCGGCAAAACTTACAGCAGCTTAAGTGGGAACCAGCTGGTATTATCCGGTAATTACGGAAATGGAAGGTATGGGTTTCCGCGATTTCGGTGCAGAGGAAATTGGCAGCAGTATACAATACCGCTACAATAGCACGGACTTTATTGCGAGGGGAACGTTTGGAGTAGTTTACAAAGCCAACATCTCGAAAGCTGGCACTTACTCGAAGTCAGATTTCGTAGCCGTCAAAGTGATACACGTCGCAATTAATTCCGAAAGTGATGCCGACCAGGAGAACTGGATGACAGCTGTGAAGAGATTAAGACGGCTTACTGAACTGAAGCACAAACATCTCGTTGTCTATCACAAAGTCTCCATCACCAAATCTTCCGGTGGAGTGACAGTGGAGCTGGCAATGGATTATCATAAAGGTGATCTAAACAGTTTTTTTGCCAAGTTATTTTCGTACAAGCTCATTTGTACGTGCTTCTCGTATTGCTTTCATTATTACACAAACGATTTTGCAGGTGACCTTGCTTTGTTTTTGAGACAAGCTAAGAAAAACGGGACGCTTTCGAATAAATGGGAAAAAGTGTTCCAGTTTGCAAAGGACATGGCGCAGGGAGTTCAGTTCCTCCATCAGAAAGGCATCATTCACGGCGATTTGAAGCCTGAAAATATACTTGTGAGCTTTATATCAAGTGGCAGCGCGAAATTGGTGATTGGCGATTTAGATGATTTAGTGCAAATGAAAGAGAGTGCCACTTGCTCGGCAGATTTATCACATTTGCGTGGTACAACCCGTTATATGTCACCGGAAATGTTGAAAAAATTTTCCCTAAAACAAGCAGAGCGACCAGGACGAAAAACGGATGTGTGGAGTCTGGGATGCATCATTTTGGAGATGGCCGAAAGCTGTGCAAGTGTTCCCAAGAAGCGACTCATAAAGGATCGGAATATTATCGATGCTGGAAACGCTCTTGAAAATTACCAGTATGCAAGCTTAATTATCGACGGTTATGTTCCATTTGTTAGCGACGATATTGAAGACAATTTAGCATGCATTGCTCGGCAGTGTTTGGATACAACAAGCGCAAATCGATTATCGGCCAGGGAATTACTGCAGAAGCTACAGAAAAAGGACATCATCGTATTTTTAGGGTTCAAGGATTCTAAATACCTCTGCGTCATGATATTCGATCCGTTAACTAACTCTGTCAGTGTCCAAAAGGTGCATGGTGCACCAGAACTGGATTTGGCAACAAAGTGGCAGTTGGCGGTAACAAGCAACAAAATTATATTCAGAGAACGGATACGTGATAGTGGCGTCCAAAAGCTGAAAGTACATTGCTGGACTGTCGACGAAGGAATATGGATTCAACAGGAGTTTACTTCCCCTTATTATGTGCATCCGGGTGCAACGATGATCGCGGTAGAAGACACGCTTTATTTATGGGGACTAGACGATATGCTATTGGAAACAAACATCTTCACTGGCAACATCACAGCCAATAAAAGGTATGGCCATTTTTTGGTATAAATTGCAGTCTTAACACCAAGCAGTTCAAGCTTTGACACTTTATAGCCCTTACCTCGATGGAGATGCCGTGACTAAATTCCGTGAGCAAATATTTTACGCTACTGAAGACAGACTGTTCCAGTATAATACGTTGATCAAGGAGTGGAAATATTTAAAACGCCGGCTACAAGAGCGCTTCGATTTTGCAATGACTGTGGTCAGCGGACACGTATACATTATGGGTGGAAAGTTTTGGAACGACGCTGCGCTGAACTATACTGCAACAGCTGACTGTATTCGTTTGAAACTGGGTAGCACAACGTGGGAAAAGATTAAACCGCTTCATCAGCCCAGATTTCGTCATACTGCTTGTATTGTCAAGGATCGATTATATATCTGCGGCGGTAGTTATTCTAACGATGAAAACGCCGCTACGATAGAGTTTTACGATACGAAAAGCGGTGCAGGATGGTCTTCTGTCAGTTTGTCACCAAAAGATAGCGGACAGTTTGCCGCCTGGATGGCGGCATACCAAAATTCGTGGTATGCAGTAACGACGGTTTCCGTCAATCCGGATACTGCTATCTTTCCAGATATAAGTGGTTGAACGGCGTTCATAATCATGCGTCGTTGTGCATCAACTTGTACAATTAAAGCTTAAGAAACTAGGTGTTAAATGACAAGTAAACTATATTTCGTCATTCTAATTAAAACATTACCATTACCTGGTGGACAATTATGGTTTTCCTGTTTACCAAACAGGAAGCGGGGACCTACTGATCTCCTTCGGTGTTAGTCATGGACATGAAGGCATGCAGCGCCTGTAGTAACAATAGTCATACTTCTCACTAATGGAACAACTAGCCGGAAAATATTTCTGTACTTTCGGCCGCAGCCGGGCTTACGAAGACTATTAAGACGCTGTCAGTAGTTTTCTGGAAATATACTCAGCTGCAACTTCAAGCCATTATGAAAATAATTTCGCGATTCCTACTTTTCACATTTTATGGTGGAGTGCAATGCAAAGTGTACAGAGGTCCAGAGACTACAGTATCTGTACAGAGCAGCAGAATACTTTAAAGACAAGGAATATACCTGTACTAGCAGACCCACCCAAACATTTGGTCAACCGAACCGACCAACATAAATAGAATAATAAAGACGTCGTAGGAATAAAAGGGCAAACATGCGAGCACTACTTCCTATCTGACAACATCCGGACACAAAACTACGCGTCTTCGTTAATGATTCCGAGGAAAACGATCGCACAGGCTGCTGCCTTATCCTACGATCCAAGGATCGTGGCCGGCTTCTTGAGCACTTCTACCCTAAAGTGCCGGGTAAGACGCGACAACTTCTCCACCTCGAGTTCTTCCAGTCCGTCCACGCACCATTTCTTCCAGCGGTGGTGCGCCGAGGAACGCGGATCAGCCGACTGCACTCCGCACAGTGTCTATAATACGAAATCTCCGCTAAAGTTTTCTTGGAAATAGCGGTCGACCGAATGGCGCTGTAGCGTCAGTGTTCCTACCTTGCAAAAGAGCTTCCTCAGCACTTTCTCATACTTGGAATCCCCGCCCATTTTCAACTGCTTGAGTAGAATCGGGAGATTCTCCCCACTCCCCTTGGGCAGCGCCGCCTCCAACGCGTCCCACAATGCGCAAGGGAAGTCCCCACCAAGTTCTAAACGGGCCTGGCGAACGCGGATCTCGGTCGCGGCGGTTATCGCCTTATCAATCAATCCGACATAAAACGAGCCAATCAAACGGACGAGGCCATTCGTTATCAGGATCACATCGCAGGGGAACCGGTGGCACACGGCAATCGCATCCTGCAGCCAGCCACGACCGAATTCCGCATCATGCTGTGACTGCAATGGAGACGGATGCTGGTCGCATTCGGTGGTGTCAAATTTATCTGACCGGCAGGTGGTCACAGAGCAGACCAGGACGCGGTGCAGATAGATGGTGCTCAATCGGATTCCGGTGCTGCGAGCCGCCAGATACTGGATTAAGTCGCTTAAATGCCGCCCGGCGTCCGTGAACCACCACGGTGTTCCGTCGGCGCTGACGGCAAGGCGGCGTGTGCTGGGGCGTAAACATTTGTACACACTGTACAGCTCAAGAAAACCCTCAGGATCATTGCGGATGACAATCGTGGACTGCAGTGCCGGCGCATCCATGATGCGGTTCCACGTTGCGCACACCGCGCGTAGCTTCGTCTGGTCCACGGTGCTCAAGTTGGAGAAGACCTCTTGCCACAATTCCACCGGGAGCGCCGCCTGGATCGGAGTCTTTGCCTGTTCTGCGTTATGGTAGCCTTTCAGCGTCCTGAGCAAATCCGGGCGAATTAGATCCCCATCGTGGGAATTCTGCAAAGCGCATGGAAAGCATTTAAGTAAGTAAATTCAAACGAAGTACAACACTTGCCTCAACTGAACGAGCTCTTTGTATTAAAGAATTGAAATTCCTTAACACACCGTACCGATAAACAGATGTATCTCAGTTCGCCGCCCACGAGGTCCACCATAAAGATGAAGCGGTTACCATGCTTGCTGCCATTCAGTCGCTTGACGAGCGCTTTCGTTTCCTCCGTGGACTGCGAGCGAAGTTTCGGGTCCAACTGAACCCGGTGCATGGTAAAGGTGCTAGGACGGACGAAATGGTCCAGGAATGGGTCGCCATCATCTGCCCGCCTCCCGTGCTGGTGCGAGTCTGTTTCCGGGAACGCTTTGAAACGCTCTGCTTGTTTTCGCCAGGTTGATACATCCAGGCGAGGACGAACGCGTTCGATGGAGACGAAATCGGTGCATGGCATTCCCGTGTCCGGACTCTGCCAGTGAACAACGGCCCCGCCGAATTTTCGTCGCGGTCCAAGGCTCATTTCACCATTGTGCCAGATCCACGGACCTGATACGGTCTCCCGCACCAGAATCTCCACGGGAACGATGGACTGCTTCCGAGCAGTAAATCGGCAGAGATCATGTTCTTCCATTTTGCGCTTCAAAAAGATGCTGCCAAATGGCACGTATTCGCGTCGCCGATGGGGACAGAACAGATCGACGAAGAGACCATCCTTTGCCAGATCCACGACGAGCCCGTAACGCAGCCGCTGATCGCTGCCCAGGACGTACACGGCGTTAAAGCGGTCCATTGAGTTGGTGTGAATTGGTAACGTGGTTCTGTTACTGCCGAAGATGAGCAACGCGGACTACGGCGTACTGTATACCGTAGAAGGTACCTCCTAATTCAAATCTGTAATGCAAAACACAGCTCGGAAGCGGATACGAAAACGAATTAAAAGAAACGAAAAATTGTTGGTGTAAAAAAGCGAAAAACAAAATTTCAGAGTGGAGTACCGAAAATAGGAATTGATAACCTGAAGATGGGTGTTGTTGCAGCACTTTATCAAGAATTAAAAGGAGAAATGGTTCCCGAAATACGAGCAGGTTACTGCAATGCACTAACACTGAAAACCTTTAGTGCATTTTTACAACACTCGTACATTGTACGCCGCTTTCTTGACCAATGAGCAAAGCCGGACTGCATCCGTCCAAAACCGGCTACGACGTCAGTATGCGATGACTACGTCCGTCTGACCGACTCTGACGTCTTGATCTCCGCCCGCCCGGGCGCTAGGTTAAGTTACGTGTTTCCGGGTAGAAGTTTCGGCTAATAGATGCCCACCACACCTAGCGCTCTGATATAAAATCATTCTTGACATCCCAATATACTGGCGTTTATTTATAAACGAATGCAGCATACAAATAAAAAAAACATTAATAAGTTAACCAAACGGTGAAAGAAGATTTTATCATCACAACAGAAAGAGCTCAGTAAACGTTTTAACTCCGTCCATTGTTCCAAAAACCGAAGCCGCATTTCCCCGCTGAATCTCCAGGGACAGTCGCTGTCGGAGAAATTCATGGGAGCGAGCCTCTCCAGTTTGATTACGTAGACGTTTCCCAATATTGTATTTCTGCTAGAATTTACCGGTTTTTGGGTAGTTTTTCAGATTGATGATGCTTGAACAGTTTGCCAGGAAGAACATCAATCTCTTGCTGTAATATCGACAAGCAGGACGCGCGGCGCTTACGCGCCCCGCTGATGCGGCCGACGGTTTCCAGCGGCTTAAAAGTGTGGGTACTGCACGCGTGGCTTTCGGTCACCAAAGGCCAAAAAGGACATCGGTGTCAGAGCGGCATCCGCTCTCTATAGGATCGTTCGGTAGAACATTTCGATACATTTTGTATGCTTTGCCTAGTGGTGCCTCTCTCGGCCTTAGAGTATGGAGGTTGTGGGTTCGATTCCCTCAATCGGCAGATTTTTTGCGAGTGTCTTTGCGAGCCTAGCCCAGCCCTTTCATCGGTAACCAAAAGCTCAAAAGGCCTTCGGCTACCAAAGGCTTAGAAAGCCTTCGGTTACCAAATGGCCAAAGGCCTAAAAAGCATTCGGTGGTTTAAGGTCCAAAAGACCTTCGGCAACCAAAGGCTTGAAAAGGCGGGTACCGCACGCGCGGCCTTCGGTAACAAAAGGCTTAAAAGGCCTTTCGGTGACAAAGGCCTAAAAGGCACTCGGGGACCCAAGGCTGACAAATGCGGGTTCCGCACGCGTGCCCTTCGGTTACAATAAGCTAAAAGGGCCGATCCTGCACACGCACCTTTCGGTTAAAAAATGGTAAAATTTGATCCAGCACGCACCTTCTGGTTACAAAAAAATTTAAAATGTGGATCCCGCTCAGGCATCTTCCGGTTACAGAAGGCTAAAACGTGGGATCCCGCACACACATCTTTCGTTGACAAAAGTTTAAAAGGATAGATTTTCGAAGCTTAGTTTCAACACGGCACTTCTGGATGGTTCTGGATGAACTGGTAGCTCGGTCTGATCTGGTAGATTTAGTAAGTCTGTCTGTTCCGGTACTCTCGCTGATCTGGCAGATTTGGTTTTTTTGACTGATCTGCTAGTTCTAGTTGATCTGCTAATTCTGGCTAATCTGGCTGATCTGGTAGTTCTGGATGATCTTATAGATCTGGCGGTTCTGGCGGATCGGGTGGTTCTGGCAGATCTGGTAGTTCCGTTGGTTCTTGCTAATCAAGCAAACGTTCGTGCGGCAATAAGGTTTTGAAATCTTTGTAAGGGCTAAGGCTGACGGCAGGACTGGTTGTTCTGGCTGATCAGGTAAAATTTCGTATGGACACTAAGGAGGTGAGAAGGCCGTAAGGTTGAGAAGGCCGTAAGGCTAGTTTTGGCCAATCGGAAATGTAAGATTGGTTCTGGCCAATCAGAACCATTTGGAGGCGGGAGTGTGACGCACAGACAGCTCTGCTTTAATATAATGATTAATGGAGGTTCTGCACTTTGCAGTACAACCAAAAGTGCCAGATACCGATCAATACACATAACAGCTGCTGCACGTTTTACCGCAGAACACAGCATCAAACCCACGATAAATCCTGTTCGAGCCCGCTCAGTAGCGGGAGTTCTGGGTCCTTGACTTTCGGTTGGTGAGCAGCTGAAGGAGGATATGTCGGGTGATACGGGAAAGTTTCTCCAGCTGTGCACCTTGCAGACATTCCACACTCCAATGCTTCGCGCGAAAATGGGATGCTGGCCACGAATCCGCCGACTGCAGCCCGTGCAGCATCTGCACAAAATAG